TCTGAGTTTGAGTGTTCCTATTCCATACTAACTATGAACTGAAAACACACACAGCAATTAGGAATCAGTTTTATTTCTTTCAGAGGAGCCAGTCTGTACTGTCCATGATCTGCAACACTTTGCCTTAACCTTTTCTCTCCACTCCCACTATCAGTAAGGAGTGGAATTATGCCTCATTCACAGGGGTTTTCCTTCCTGCTGGTTATTAGTACTTTACCTTCCTGAACAGAAAGAAGAATAATGTAGAAAGAAGTTGATGTAATATGGCCTGAATGTAATAATGTAGCAAGTCTTGAGCAGTGCAGACCTTTAAACCAACTGTTTTTAAACTGACTCGAGAAGAAACTGGGAAGAAAAATATCTCAGTGCAATTTAAAAATTATTAACCATGGATATATTATTTCACAAACTCTTTATATTACCTGATAGTTAATATCGTTCATTGATAGTTTATCAATAAAAAAGAAAAGCTGTGAATAAAGTTAAGATATATTCCTACTGTATTTCCTCTGAAAAGATACCTGTTTTCTCTCTCTACTATGTAAAGAGCCTCCAAAGATTACCAGATTACCTTAGCCTATTGATACCAGCTATCTCCTCTCACTTCTATTTAAACATATAAGAAACAGAGAATTTAGAAGCTGCACTTCTCTAAAGAAATGCTCACTAGTACTGTCCCAGGAGCAGATCCTTGGGCAATAATTTCATTCCACAGTTCTTAAAACATTTCTTTTGCAAACCTTACCATATAGTGACATCTGAAAGTAAAGATATATTGTGAAGGGTCAGTTAAACACACTGAAGACTTTTCTCTGCTTACATTTACAATGAAAGTCAAGCTGGGGCACTTCATTCCTTTACTATCAGGTTAACACAGGCTCCTAAATAAACAAGCTGATTTTTTAGGAGTGAGGAGTGTGTAATAACTCCAGTGCAGTTACTGATAGGACACCAGCCTGCCTCCCACACAGAAAGAGCGTGCCCTGAAGAAAGCTGAGAAGGCAGCAGGAGAAAAGAGATACAAGGCTTTTTTGGGAGGGATTCCCAGGGAGAAGATAGAAATGATTTAAGCTCCTGTGGTCAGCTAATAGCTCTAGGCTGAGTCATTTGGAGGGTGGACATATCTACCTCCATTTATCAGGGACTGTGGACAGAAACTTCTTTCTCCCATACCTGTGGGTATGAAATCAATGATGAATCTGAACAGGAATACATGTAAAAATACAGTAAGACAAGTGATAGTTCTGCTGATTCCTTCTGCTGGTAGATTTCTACAGAGCCTGATGGTGCTGGGTACAATGAATTTCAGGAAGCGAAGTTTATGTCTCCTAACGTGATTTCTGCCTGTTCTTTCACCTCAAGAAATTGAAAATAGAAGTTGGACACTGATACCAAAGACACTACCTGTCTCTTCTCACATGCCAGTGACCAGGAGAAGAGCTGCCTACTTGGCATCCTGACCCATGGCCAACAGAGGAACTGAATGCATCGGTTTTTCTCTACAAGTTGTAGTCAAGTCACAGAGAAAACAAGTGTCCTTAAATGAACAGTAAACGTATTGTACACTTGGTCACAAAATTGAAATGAAACTCAACTGAAACTCTCACACCTCCAGACTAAACTTTAAAAAGTTTGTGTATGAGAACACACATTCACCCCTGGGCAGATGCAAAGTTTGCCTTACTGTAACAAAAAATACCAGGAGAGCCGAAACCTGCACGTTTGGTCTCTGTGCTTTACAATGCACTAAAGTATTCTGCTATTACACCTTCACATGAACTCTCACCCTACCTTATGTAATTCAATTTCATTAAATGTCTGTGGCAAATTTATCCAATGCTTATATAATCACTTCTTTGAAGTGTGTGAATGAAGCTGTTATTTTTTCAAAGACTATCTGTCTGTCCAAAATTTATTTTAACACACTGTGGGCATGAAGCTAGATGAGAGAATGTATATATTCCCTTTAAAAGTGTTTACTTAACCACAATAAAAGGTTATGTGGATTTCCCAAGTGCACTGAGTTACAGTACCTGTTATAATGTGAACATTTAAACACTC